CGATTGCTCTTTTATAGATACTAGAACGTGCACCTAGTAGTGCAAGTGACCATTCTTTCAAGTGTAGAAGTTCTCTAATCATGAAAGCATGAAAAAACAATTTTTAAAATAATTAAAACCATTTCCTTCGTTCAAAAAAAGACTTTTAATAGTTAAAATTTCGATTTTACTATCAGATCGATATTCGGCAATGTTTTTCGAACCTCCTCTAAATTAGCGTTTATAGAAGTCATTTGGAAATTACTCGAAATGATATTATAAAAGTTGCAGTTGCTAGTCGACAATTGCCATCATTATTCATCTAAATCATGATATAATTGAAAAAGTATCATTAGAATTTAGCTGCTGTAATTATTGCATTAGTCATCAATACTTTGAATATTTTATCATAAATTCATAGTAACCATCTTATCTGGAATGTATAAAAATGTTGCAGTAAGTTCAAGTTATATAAACCAACAAGTTAATGAGATCTTTTTTGCTTAAAATCAATGAAATAGTTTTAATAAATATTGCAAATACAGTCTTTTATTCCTTATTAGGATCAACAGATTTAATTGTATCATATTATCAATTTTGATTATCCATCAAGTAGCGTTCATCGAAACTCGATTCACTTGACTCTCAGCAGGAAATCAAATAGAATTGCTACCTTATATAAAATCAAACATTTTCTAAAACTTTCATATTTGACGAACGAATAATAAAGTTTAAAAATGCTTTAGCTTTATTGAAGTCAATTTTATAAAAAATAGGATTTCATAAAAAAACTACAGTGGAGATCTCTTTAACATTGTATATCAAAATTGATTTTGAACTTTTTTATCTATATGCACTATAGCAAGACTATTAAACTGACAAAACTTATTAATAATGTTTTGTAATAATGCAAAAACTAAACTTTTAATATGATCAAATTACAAGGCGTATGTTTTCTAAGCTTCTACTTCTGGATCTTATTTTATTCATTTATCATATAGAACGTTTCGATACATCATTGTTTTTTGTCAAACATGCATTAAAAACATTTGTCGATGATAATAAATGACATGCCATATAAAAATAGGCGGACATTGTTTTCAAAGCGCTATAATACTCTGTATATACGAACGTTTCGTTTTTTTGTTATTAATACTATTTTCATCTTGCTCCATATTAAACGTAAAATTGGCATTGCCTCATTATTTTAATTTATTCAATAAAATATTATATGTTAAATATTATACTATTCAAATAAAACGATAATAGTAAATAAAATTATATTAGCAAACATATGCCATAGTTACATGATTATTTGCGCCAACAAAATGGTCATTTGTGCCATGTTACCGACAAAAATAAAACATGTAAATGGATAATTCTCGTTTCTAGACTCTATCCTTTTCAGTTTAGCGAAAATTTAATATCAAAGAGACAGAAATGATTGTTATTGAATAAGATTTTTATTGAAAAAAAGCATTAGAAGATTATTATAAAGTTTAAGTAAGGAAAATCTCATTGAAATTAAATGAAAATTGCGTTTCTATGATCATTTTCATATGTCAATATGTGTTTAATAAAATGAAATTAGATGATAATTGAATATGAATTTGATTAAAAATTAAATGAGATTATTATAATTTTAATAAGTGAAAGTAAATAATAGAATAATTATCTTGAGGGTGGGTGAGTGTAAGTGTGGTTGTAGTTACCATAGATATGATACACCAACATCTACACTGGCACCTCTACACTCTCAAGTTTGAATTAATTCTAAATCTTTAAAGAAAATTAACTTATTCTTTTCGAAATAATTACATAACAAGTTAAAGTTAACATTGTTATTTATTCGAAATCATTTCTTGTAGAGAAAATTATTTTTATTAATTAAATACAAAACTATCTAACAATTTTTAAGAGAAAATAAATTTATCAATGAAAAGAAACGAAAAATGAAAAGGACAGATAAATGTATTTAATTTATAATTCATTTCGTAACAAATATTAATATAAATTAATAAATTTGAATTATTTTAAAATATTTATATGATCGTTAAATATCATTTTTAATTTTATCTTTTGTTAAGAAATCTTAATAAAAATCGATTGATGAGATTTGTTTTATTTTTATGAGTATAATTAAAAGATAAACAGAAATCTCTCTCGACATTAAAATTCTTAAACTGAATTTATTAGATTATTGTCATTTGTTTTGTTTGAAAATTCTTTCAATTAATTAAATTTTTAACTTTGTTTTATTTAGAAAATAAAATACATCTTTTATATCTCTACAAATCATTCAACTTACAATAAAGAATATTCAGTACAAGAGGTATGGATTGTTAACCTAATACTCTTAGTATAGTTTTCTAATCGAAATATAACCGTAACTCTGAAGATGTAAGATGTTATTTGTCGATTAATGTACGTTACACATTTTTCAAGAAATCTTTGTAATGATTTTATAATAATCCACTTATAATTGTCTCTTACAGATAATTAAAGACTAAATCGCTTCTTAAACTTTTAGACCCAAACTCGATCGGATCAAGAATCTACTTAAGAAGCTTTCATCTCAGTAATTTTCTTTTGTAGATGAAGATCAGTTTGTGAATATTTTAAAATAAAGTCAATGTCGGCAAGACAGTTAAATGTATTTTATAAATAAGATACTATCAAGAACGATATGACTTAAACAAGTAAGACAAAGTTCATATTTATTTTTCATCTTTGTTCACAAAAAGTTCAAATGTTTCCCTATCGCTTCGACCTATTGAAAAATGAAACTTGTTTTCTGCAGTAAATGCTGGACTTCTTCCTGATAAGAGAGACCAAAAAATCATTGATAGAATAGTTTGTTAATTTTTTTCCATGTGTAACACATAGTCTTGAATATTATTATGACAATTCAATAATGTTTTCGATATCTTCTTCAGTATGTCTCGTATGCTTGCGCTCTTTTGTTCGACCCAGTTGTTTTAATCAAAATAAACTCTCTCAAACAACTCTGATTCTGCTGCATTTTCAATTTTCGTTTGCTTGTGATAAATTCATTTATTTGTTGATAAGGACGGAGAAAAGAGGCGAACAAAAGTTACTTCTTATAAACTCAAACGAATACAAAGAACAAAGATAAACCACGTGTATATAAAGAATTTATTTTCATCTAACCCAGTCATTTTTATTCTTTTAATCATATTTTTCAAAGCATCTTATTGCGCTTCGCTTCGTTTTCTAAGGTAAGTTAATGTTATTCGATCACAATTTTATCTTTACATGAGGGCGTGGGTGTCTCTTAGTTCACACACTCACCCTATAGAGCAAAGGTGTTTTTTTGTCAGTAACGATATTATCTCTTATTTTTGAAGAAAGTTGGAAAAAAAGAATTTGTTTTGTTCTTTATTCCCACCTTACTTCGAAATATAAAGTGAGCGATACACAGGACAGAGTTTTATTATAAGTAATAGTAATAACTATAAAAAATAGCAAATGAAACTTGAGGAAAAAAGCGCCATCCAAGTCTCCATGAATTTTCTGTGATACTTTAGGATTATTCAACATTCCCTAGCATTCTTCGAGATTCCATGAGATTCTTCAGTATTGTCCACTTTTTGTCTGAAATCGATGAGACTGTTGTAATTCCTAAACTTAAGGGTAAGGTGTGAGTTTAAGATTACATTCACACTCACACCCTTAAGATTGTATTCTAATATCTAGTTTGTTTGACAATATATTTTTATATTCGATATTAGTGTTGTGAGATATTTGAATGTATATGAAAGTAGTTTGTTTTAAAGGCACCGCTTCTATTCTACAGATGTGATAACGTTTGCAGTATTTGTATATATATGTTGTCGTCAACATGAGGCGAGAAATTATATTTTGCATGCACATACTTTTAAGATAAAAGATACGTTAGTGGGTATTTTGTTATATACATTGCTTGCGCTTTAGAGTAAAATAACCAGATACGAGATAGAATTTAAAAAAGGTTTGAATACCGTCTCAAGTATACAAGTTTAGTTTCTTATCGATTTTTTTTTAATGTAAAGTGCTATAAAATATCGTATTTATACGATAGAGTAACCGCTTAGCCTAGAACTTTTTAATTTATTCTAAGTTTTTAGATAAATGTCAAACTCACCGCTTGTTTGTTTGCCTGTTGAACTTCTGCATCGTATCCTTGATTATCTCGATGCGTACACTATTGTTCTTTCGATCCGTTCGGTTTGCAGACAACTTCATGCGATTGTCAACTCTTATAATCGTTTTCAACTCCATTACAATTCAACTGACAACCCCACTTCAAAGAGATATCCTTCCTTTAAAATTATTTCTCGTCTCGTTCAACCTTTCAACGTCACTTCACTTATATTCTATGGCTCCAATGACAGCCAATGGTACATCAATTTTTTTCTCTCAAACGTCAACATTAGTCAATTCACTAGACTTCGTTCATTGACTCTCTATAAAGTCAACTGCAATCAAATGAACGAATTTTTTCTTAATGCTACCATTAATTCTCTAGTTTCACTGACAGTCAATATGCGTGCGCGAGCGGACAATAATACAGCCTTATCAATCATCTTTCCAGTTGTCGTTCAAACCAATCTTCAAAAACTACGTTTAATTGATCTGGATTTTATAACTAATCAAATAATGTGGCCTATCCAAAGTACATTAGAACAACTGACAGTCAGAGATTGTTCTTACCATCAATATTGTATCATTCTCTATAATTCACTCCGTTTAAGAACACTTGTTATCAGAAACTGTATTATGGACAAAACTGATCAAACGGTTTCTTCATATGCACTAACAACATTTGATTCTACAGGTATATACTGAAATATGCATCTTTTAAACGTCATCTGTTTCACTGTATACTTAGCAATTCTTTTCGGTTACATAAAGTTCGGACTAGGCTCACAATCTGACCGGAACACACTCCTTGGATAGAAGTTTCAGCTCCCTAATAGTGTACTGCACTGTAAAATGGGCTTCTTTAAGCTTTTATAATAATGGTACGGAAATACTCATCGTTTGAACTTATATTAGGCTCACAAAGAGATTTCATTGAGACTAGTACAAGCCTAACAGGGTTTGTTTCCATCGATCTTTTTAGCTAAGTTATGATCAGATTAAACGAGTCCGAATAATGATTACGATTTGGGATAGTTTTCACTTAACAAAACAATTTTATCGCTTCCAACTCTTCTTTATTGGGCTGTGTTATACTGCCATATGTATTCTAGGTTGATCAAAGATATGAGATATGAGCACATTTTATTATTTGACTTAGTTATAAACTTTAAATTAGTAACACGAAAAAGCTCTAATTGAAAAGTTTTTTGCATAGACGCTTAGGATAATGAAAAGACCAAAATTGAAAATATCGAAAAAGAATATTAAAAGTATTTTTAGCACACCTGTATAGCCTTCATCCCTATTTTCGATAAAATCAATAGCTACCAATGAAAAATATCCACCTGAATAATCTATAACGTAAACATATCGAAGAAAAATATTTTCACTCTCCCTCAACTTCACTTGGACATTTTTTAGCTCATCATGTTCTCGAACATTTTTAATTTTCAGTCAAATTCAGGTTTACCAGTAAGAAATGAAATAGACCAAATTTTTGACTATCTGTTAGATTTTTTTATGAAAGAAAATTAAACACAGCTTGGAGAAAGTTCGATCATCTGTGTTAACTACTTGTAAACCACAGCTTTTCAAAAATATGTTAGAAGAGAGAATATCAAAACGAAACAAAATCAGCTATTTAAATGGTACATATCCTATGCTTTGATTTAACAGTGTATCTGCAATTGGATTCATTGACTATTGGTGACTGCAGACTATCGCCTCAAGAGCTGGAGTGCTTTCTTTCACTGACACCGTCACTTAGTCATCTGAAACTGGTTTCATCTAGATCGAAACTTGATTCGATATTTGATGGTTCTTATTGGGAACAATTCATTCAAAAGAAACTACTTTTACTGAATCAATTTCAATTTTCTCTTACTTGTACTAGCAAGAAATCCTGTGATACCGCTACTTTAGATTCACTTATCGTACCATTTCAAAGTCCGTTCTGGCTCAGCAACAAAAATTGGTTTGTTACTTGTGACTATATTCCACTAGCAATGAAAACTATACTTTATACAACACCGATCTGTACAGAGGTTGAAGTCCAAGCAGAATCTCCTGTATTTGAAGTATCATCAACAAAACCTAATTGTCGCTTAATTTTGCATCGAAATTACAATATGAGCTATAACATCGAAAATGTGGTAAGTCTGATACAACCTTCTTATACGTATAAGAATGGTCGTATGCTTTACAGATAACGAAATCCATATTTTTGGTATATCTCACAATTTTCTCGTATGAGCTGTTTTTGTAGAATAGAATGTTTACTTTTAGAATAAAGCTTGAACACATACGCAATATAGGTATTTCATGAAGTACGCTTACATTCTCAGTCGAATAGAATAAACGAATTATATTATTTCAGTTGCACAAAAAAAATATGAATAGATCTTACTCATATTCTATACAAGATCATACAAATCACAATCTTTTGTGACGAGTTTCAGTACTGATTTCATCTATGATTCTTCACACCCGTTTGCATTTCATGATGTATATTGTTATGTTTTTACATAGGCATCCTTTGAATTAAATATTTCCCGCAATCAAATTGGAGATAATTTGATACAATATGTAGCTGTGGCGCTACTAAACTACAAAGTGACATATTTTTCAAACTTCGTACACTGAAATTCACCTTTTATATATCATTCAGACATTAACTACAGTTGATCTTTCACGTAATGAGATTGGCGACATTGGAGCACAGTATTTGGCAGCCACATTACAAAACCATCAAGTTAGATATCTCTCAGACACATTTAAATCATACTTATTTCTTATCTTATACACAGACACTTGTCACTCTGGATCTTTCCCACAATCGAATCGGAAACAAGGGAGCACTATATCTTTATGATGCCTTAAAAGAAAACAAAGTAAACATTCAACATTTCTCATTTCTCATAAGTATCGTCATTCTTCGGTATAGACACTTATTGAATTGAACCTTGAATGCAATCTTGGTAGCTATTGTGCAATTGTGAGTCTAATAATTCAAATACGAAATGATAAAGTAATCCCTTTCCTCTAGATTTCTTCTCATACCTTCTTACTTTTCTTTGAAGACAATCACTAAAATCGATCTTAGTGGGAAGAGTATCGATGACATTGGGATGAAGTTTTTGACTCATACACTAATCAACAATAAAGTAACATCATTTCTCTATTTGTTTCTCTGATGATCATAGTTTCGTTATGATATAGACAATCATTGAGTTGAACCTTTCACAGAATAAAATCGGAGATATTGGAACAAAACATTTTGCGAATGCATTAAAAGACAACAAAGTGATAGTTGACTCACATTTGATATCATAATTATTTTTACTTTTTCTGCATAGGTACTCACTACTCTTAACCTTTCCCACAATGAAATCGGTAGCAATGGAATACAATATCTTTATGATGCCTGCAAAGAGAATAAAGTAGACCTTCAACACTTCTCATTTATCTTATTTTAGTATCGTTATTCTTTAACATAGACACTTATTAAATTGAACCTCAAAGGAAATCCTGGTAGGTACTGTACAACTGTGAGTGCAGCAATTCAAATATACAATGATAAAGTAATTCGTTTCTTCGAGATTCTTTCTCATAAGTTTTTACTTTTTCTGAAGACAATCACTAAAATGGATCTTCACGAAAACAGTATCGATGACATCAGGATGAAATTTTTGGCTGATGCACTATACAACAATGAAGTAACATCATTTCTCATTTATTCCATTGATGATCATGGTTTCATTGTGGTATAGACAATCATTGAGTTGGACCTTTCGAAGAATCGCATTGGAGACACAGGAATTCTATA